AGGAGTAGGATACTACCTAGGATACTACCTTGAGGAACACCAGTAAATTGAGATAAAAGAGATGAACAGGCTGTGATTTACTTTGAAGTATCTATCACTAAGGTAGGAACGGATAATGAGGAAGTATATAGGTGGTAGGAATTTACGGAGTTTGTACATCAGTCCCTGATGCCAGACTAGATCAAACGCCTGTTCAACGTCGAGAAAAACTCCCGTGCAGTACATTCCGCGCTCCAATGCAGAGGAAACCACGTATACCACACGATGACATTGCTGAATAGTGGAGTGAGATGTACGGAATCCAAATTGGTGATCTGGGATTATGTTATTAGAATCTAGGATGGGATACAGGCGTTTTAAGATGAGTTTTTCTAGGATTTTGCCCATAATGGGTAAAAGAGAGATAGGACGGTAAGAGGATGGGTATTCTGGCGGCTTTGTGGGTTTCGGTATCATTTTGACTATGGATAGTTTCCAAGAGTCAGGAAAATATGTAGTTCGGAGTACCGCATTATATATATAGGTGAGGAATAATACGGCTTAGGATTTAAATTAAATATGATTTATAGGATTTTGTGAAAGACTGTAATATGGTTATCAGTCATATTTTTTATTAGATGTTACATAATCATAATTTGTATTTTGGGTTAATTAATATTTTTACGAAATTGATATAACTTTCATAAATTTCAAAACATTTAAACATGTCTGCCTAAGTTGGGAATTTGTATGTTCAATGTACCTAGTTAGATGAATATCACTTTTGGTGGATGTACGCACCACTGTTTCTTTAACGACAATTATTAATTTTATTGATACTAAAATTCTGAAGGTTCAATATTCCACGAAGGATTTGTAATAGAATGCATGTTAAGAGGACTCGCTAAGATGAGCCGTGTCCTTGGTACCGAAGATAAACCAGGCAATGACATTTCGCCATTCCCTTATTTTCAAGTTCCTTTACTCATAAAAAATTAAAAGTACGACGTTTAAACACAAGGATATTCATAAATATACTTGGACATCACCGGATTCGCAAACACGAAATCAAATCGATCATGTCTTGATACAACATAGCTGGCAAAGCAGTATTATTAATGTACGGTCTTATCGCGGAGCAGAATGTGGGTCGGATCATGAATTAGTAATCGCGAAACTTCGACAAAAACTTAATATAAAAAAGAGAAAAGAAAACCGTTTCGATTTTGAGAATTTTAATTTGGAAAAATTAAAAAATCCATCAATTAGAAACCAATTCGAGCTAGATGTTAAGAATAGGTTTGAAGCTTTAGAGCTTCCTGACGAGGACCACGAGGATATTGACAAGTTATGGATAGAGATCAGGGATAATATTAAAGCGGTCGGTAACTCGTGTCTAGGAAAAAAGGAAAAAATAAGAATAACAAACCGTGGTTTGATGAAGATTGCTTAAACATGTGTGAAAAAAGAAAAGCCGCTAAATTAAAAGCTCTAAATAATCCTAGCGAAGACAATCTGGAATACTTCCGAATCTCAAAGAACGAAACGACAAAATTGCTCAAAAATAAAAAAAGGGAGTATCTTAAAAATAAAATAATTGAAATAGAAACTAATAGAATCGAAAATAACGTAAGAGACATGTACAAACGTATAAACAGATCACGTAAATATGTAGGGCCCGTAACGTCTGGAATTAGGGATGATAATAACAATATTCTGACCGATCCGGTTGACATATTGAATAAGTTTAAGGACCACTTTGACAATATTTTAAATACGGGAAATTATGATCTGTGTCCTCCTTCTGAGTACCAGAGTGCTGAACCGTTAATAGAAGGACCAAGTAAAGAGGAAGTTGAAGTAGCTATCGGAAAATTAAAATCATATAAAGCAGCGGGAATCGATAATATTCCTACTGAACTAATTAAGGCATGCGGGGAAGCTGGAGTTTCTAAAATACATCGGTTGGTTAAAAAGATCTGGGTGAACGAGAAATTACCTGAAGAATGGAAAGAATCTATTCTTATTCCGATTCACAAAAAGGGCCCGAGGACGGATTGTAATAACTATCGAGGAATTTCACTCCTTCCGGTATGTTATAAAATATTCACTTCAATCTTAACCAGTCGAATCACGGAATACGCCGAGGAAATTATCGGAGACTACCAATGCGGATTTAGACGCTATCGTTCGACAATTGATCAAATATTTTCTTTACGGCAAATATTAGAGAAAAAATTGGAGTATAACGGTATTGTTCACCAGCTGTATATAGATTTTAAAAAGGCTTACGATTCTATTGACCGCCAGAAACTGTATAATATTCTAATCGAGCAGGGGATTCCAAAAAAACTAGTAAATCTAGTCAGGATGTGCTTGACGGAGACACTCAATAAAGTTAGAATCGGTAATAATTTGTCCGAAAAATTTGAGGTTCGTTCGGGCTTAAAACAGGGGGATTCTCTTTCGCCTGTGCTGTTCAATTTGGCATTAGAACATGCCATTAGGGAGGTAATGCGAACCGAGAAAGGGTTGGATCTGGGCGGGACAACATCCGTGCTGGGCTATGCTGATGATCTGGTACTGTTAAGCGAAGACGTTGAAACTATAAAACTAAATACGACAACGTTAATGAAAGCCGGTAAAGAACTAGGACTCGAAATAAACGTGGATAAAACAAAATATATGGTTAGCTGCAAAAATGGCGATACTACTGGTGATATCGATATAGATGGTAATATGTTTGAACAGGTAGATAAATTTAGGTATCTAGGTTCTACGATAACTAGAAAAAACGAAATTGAAGAAGAGATTAAGGTTAGACTGAAGGCGGGGAATGCTTGTTATTTTTCTGTGACAAAACTACTTAGTTCGCGCCTCTTGTCCCGAAACTTAAAAATTAGAATCTATAAAACAATTATCTTGCCTACAGTTCTTTATGGATGCGAAACTTGGCCGCTTACATTAAGGGATGAGCAGCGTCTTAAGGTTTTTGAAAATAAAGTATTGCGTAGAATATTCGGACCGAAGAAGGATGAGTTAACCGGAGAGTTCAGACGGTTACACAACGCCGAATTGCATGAGCTGTATCCGGATAATATAATTGAGGTAATTTCATCGAGGCGAATCAAATGGGCTTGTAAAGTTGTTGGGCTTAGTAACGAGAGAATTCCTAAAAGGTTAATATTTGCTGTGCCGAATGGTAAGCGTCCGAGGGGTAGACCGAAGCGAAGGTGGGAAGATTGCATTAAGGCCGATCTGAAGGGACTGGGTTTGGACGGCGAACGGTGGATGGAGGTGTGTAACAAGCGATTGGTGGTGTCGGCATCGAACCTTCGGGTTCGCTAAGCCTTATTATTATTATTATTATTATTTACTCATAAAAACCATCAAATAATAAAATCATGGTTGTAATATTTTTCGTTACTTTGTTTTTATATAGTTAATTTATGGTTCGAAAATGCAGTATTTGCTTCGAATTATTCCTTTGTAAGGAATAATGTGAAGTAGCTCTTAAGACCTACTAAAATTTTCAATCGATATTTTCAGAACGAATGAAATATGCTAATTTTGGTTCATTTTTCCAAATAAATACTTCTTTTTATAATCTCACATTAATTATATTTATAATTCATAATTATTTAACTTGGTATTTACTATCAATAAATCATTGATGACCAATTTTGATTCTATTGAAAAACATATTGCTTTTGAATGAACTTAACTTTTAGTTATCAGTTTTTTCTTTAATAGAAGTTTTGTTAAATATGGATCTGCTGATTTCCCTCAAAATTACTTTTCCACTAGTACTTGGGTAATAATATATGTATATTATACAATTAAAATAAAAATTGTAATGATCTTTATTATATTCTAAAATATTTAATAATTTTATGATTATTTGTAATGAATAGTTATTTTTTGTTATTTAACCTTTTAGGTTTGTAATGATTGTAGTTTGTGGAGATCGCAATAATGTATCTTTGATGGCCATCCTTTTCACTCTTCCATATTTTTCATTTTTTGTTGCTGTTATTTAATTTATTTATTTGATTGTATTTTAGGTGCAGTGTGCAACTTTATAGGTTAGAGGCACCATATTGCTTATTGAATTACATTTCAATATGTCTTATGTATTTTCTTTTTTTTTTTTTTTTTGTTTATTTTTTGTATTCACACCTGTCATAATGGTAATGACAACCAGTGAATGTGAGGTTGATTAAAAAAATAATGTCATGAAAGGCATTACGAGGATCAGTGCCCAGCGGCACCTCACTCGGCGTGATATCTACGTTAGGCGAGGAGGTCCCTCATCCAGCTCCTCTTCAGTCTCCTACAGACGTTACCTGGCATATTCGTAGTGGCCATGTCATTTATAAGTGTATTAGGATGTCCTTGTAAGTTGTCATGGAATCGTTTGTAATGAGTTCGTATGTGTTCGTTAACAGTCGGCATATGAAGGTCCTCGTTTAATGTCTTATGTATGTAAAATTTTAGATGTGTATGTTGTTAGGATGTTTGTTTAAAGAACGTGTTGTTACAACTGTATGAGTTATTTCATTAGCTTGAGTACTATTTCTAATTTATAAAAATTAAATTCCTCCAAGTTCGTTGAAACTCTAAAATAAATTATTTATGAAGAAAATATGTGTTTCAAAAAATCTTTTAATATGGGAATAAACGCGTTTGCTTGATATTCTTTTTATTTCTGAAAATTATCGTTGTCTTGTCAGGAAGATGCTAAGATTCCATGATCCTTTCCTGCTTTGAGCTTGGTGGGAACCATTTTGGAATATTGCTATCTTCGAGACAGGTGGTACGAATTAAAAATAGATCATATCAGTTTCGAATATTACGTAATGACAACAATAGGCTATTAATAAGAAAGCGGTTATTCCTAGCGCTCCTAGATCGGGACGGGCGCCGGAGTCACCCTCGTCCTTGGTGTGCAGTCCTTGTTCGAGTGGTGGGGGCAGCGGAAGTCACCCCAATGCCAACCTTGGCGGCCTCTGTCCCATTGCCCCCAGTCTTCGTTCGCGGCTGATCCAGTGTGTACTCCGGTGTACAGTGTACGGTGCCTACGTCGTTCCCGCTCAATAACAAAAAAGTGAGTTGGATATGTTATCTTCACTATTATGTTTTGTAATAGCAGTGTTGTGAGCCAAAGGTGTCTGAGCTAGGAAAAGTGCTGTGGTAATTTTCTTCGGCTCCAAGAAGAATTTCTTGAACGTGTGGCAATTAAGATCTAAGGTGGATTTTAATAGTGATATTTAACTGTTGACCGGACCATGACATAAAACAGGAAAAAAAAAAAAAAAAAACATAAATGAATGTTGTCTGTAAATGATGATGTTCAATATTAAAACAGATCCTTATTATAATAATTATGAGTTCAAGGTTATATTTTGTACACCACATATAAAACTCCTTGGTAAATGGGATATACATACAGCGTTTCATTTTGTAAAATATCACATTAACATTTTTCTTTTTTGTATATATATATATATATATATATATATATATATATTTTGGAAACATTTTTTTTATAATTATCTAGAGTTCTGGTTGAATCTAATTCAAAGTTAAAAAAAAAAAAAAACATATTCGACTTGATGGATTATACACTGTATAACTATAAACATAATTTTTATTTAAAATGAATACATAAATATTTTGCTAATTGTCACTACCATGACAGGTGCCGATGAAAAATTGAAGACAAAAAAAAAAATAAAAATGAAAATATAATCCAAAAAATAGTTTACTTACTTCGTTCTTTCGTGAATTCGAATTTGAGTTCATTAATTTTTAACAAAGATTTTAGTTTCTTAAAAACGACAAAAGATCTTAAAAAATAACAATAAATTCTTAAAAATATAAATGAGTTGTGTGACAAACAATGAGTTTTTACCAAGAGCGGCTTTCTGTATCGGTTGTCGTTTATTATTTAATTGATATGTTGGGTCTGTATATAGTAACAAAAAATATAATTAATTCATAATACTTAAAAAAAAAATACATTTCAAAATGTTTTGAATTTAATCTTCCCCTCTATTATATTAGTTACTCCTTTATAATTATTATAATTTCTTCATAAATCAGATATCTAATTGTAAAAAAAATTAAAATATAATCAGGAAAAATATTATAATCCTCAATAGAGGAATATTCACATGAATGGTTGCATTATCGTTTTTTGAAAAATAATATATATGTATATATATATACACACACACACACATAAAATAATAAAGTATTGCACAAACCATAAAATATAAAAAATTATATATTACAATATGTTACCCTTTTAATGTCACTACCCAGCATTGATAATGAACCGGTGAAGTGTGCACGTCACAACTATGAAACGATAACGTAATCTTTACCGCTTTTAAACCCTTTGCCAATTCATTTTGCGTAGGCAAATAAAATACTTTATTCCAAAACCGTAAGTATTTAAAAAAATATTAATAATAAAAATAAAGTATGATCATATTCTAACCAAATTTAATTATTGGAACGAATATTTTACCTCTTGTATTTAAAATTTGAATTCATGGCAATATTGATAAGAATAATACGAACTCTTTTAAGGAAAAATAATCTATTTTGAAATTACTTTTGATTTATTTTCTGTTATTAGGACAGGAGCGAACATTATGAATAAAAATAATTAATTTTTTTTTCTTGTGAAATAAACCATTTATCATGCAAATAAACAGAAATGAAGAGAACTTGGGTTCCAATAGAACTATTTGTATATATTTTCTAAGAATTTTGTATGATACAATTAATTATAAGTTGATAATTAACCAAGCAAATTAACTTATGAAAAGAATTTATTTCTCAAGTAAATAATCTCGTTTTGTATTTTATTTTTTAAGAGGATGATTCATTCCCTCAAGTCGTAGGCGGTACCTGAGTCATTCCATTGAATCAGACCAGCGGTTATAATTAGGTATACTTAATTTTTTTTTTTCATTTCCTAGGTTCCAAAATTGGAGATAAACTAAAAGAACCTAGTGATTGTATTGATTCTATCTCTTTATTTTCTAAAATTTCTATCAATTTTATGTAATGGACGTAATCTGCTCTTCAATTTGCTAAAAAAAAAAACAATGGGTCAAAAACTATGGTTCCAGACTAACGATTTTCTAAGAACTGTATAATTTTCTCAAGTGTATCTCACAGGAAGAAAAAAAAAAACTGAAAAAAAATATGCGGTATCAAATCATAAGGGCTTTTGAAATTTATGAGGCTATTGTGAATTCTTGCGTTTAAGGTAATTGTGCGAACGCCTGCTTCCAGGTGGTCGTATCTCAGTTACTAGGCACGACTTGGTCATCATGTTTAAAAAAAAGAACATGCATTGAGCCTCCTATTTTCTCAAATATGATAATAACTTCTTCTTAAAATGGATTTTTCGCAGTTGTTTCGTTGTTTCGTTGAATGTCGTTTCGTGATAGGATATTTCTTGGATATTGACGTTTACTAAATACTACTTTAAAAACTGAATATTCTTGATTTCATTATTTTATTGAAAAATAATTGGTGATTTTCATATAGTTCTTGAGACTGAATCTCTAATGTGAATACATTCAGTCTTTTTCTTTCCGTATTCATCAACTGTCTTACATCGCTTCTTACACAGAATTATATTCCATATTCCTAAGTTTTACTATAACAATCGATGCTGGTAGAGATAAAATTTTTTATATATCTTCATTAATATAATTCTAATAAATTAAATAAAAGAAGATTAACTGTGGAATCTCAGAGATGATTATCAGGATCACTAGCGGATCCAGGATTTAATTTTGGGATTGAGATTCAGCCCCAATGCTTTTTTTTTCATATCTATAACGATAATTACTTTGGAAAAAAAAAGAAAGATACTACCACCCATATGAAATGGTTTTAAGTGATTCTTGAAGTCCTATTAAGTTTAATTACAGGATCAATGATAGTTTAAGAGATAATTTTTTACCATAAATATGGTTACATTTTACCATTTCGGGAGGGTTTCAGACCGAAAGCCTCCCCCCCCCCTCTCCCACACAGATTCGCCTGTGATTCGGATGATAATATTACTCGTTAAAGATGGTAATTTAAATTTAAAAAAATTCCTCTTATCTTTATGAAATTTAAAAAAAAAGTAATAAATAGCGCGATCGCTGCTAGCCTCTCGGTTTTGGAACAGTTTTAAATATATTAACGCGCTTATCTATGATATGCAGAGTAATCTAGGTAGGGATTGATCTGGGTAAAGTTACTAAACTCAGCGCTCATCCTGTCTGATTTCTGATGGTCATTAGAGATCTCAGCGTTGAGTTTAGGAAGTTGCCCCTGTTTTGGTTCCAAGCTGTAAGATCGTCACCACGTCTGGCGAGACCCCGCCAAATCGCCAGTTCATTGAGAGTCCTGAGGAGTGAATCACGAAGGAGAAATCAGTTTTTATGAAGTTATGCAGAACATGACACCGGTGATAATGATATTGACCTACGTAGCATTGGATTCCTTCCGACCACTTTGTAGAATAATAAATAGTGAAATCGAATTCTTTTTTAATAATTAATATTATATATGTTTTGTTAAACATAAACCATTTCCCTTATTTTAATTTTTTTTAAAGAAGTCAACGGAAAGCCCATGAACAAAAATACTTTTAAGTACATGTCTTTTACATGTCATTCAATCGAATTAAGGCTTTTGTATGAGATACCTACCAGTTTTGAAAAAAAAACAAAACAATTATTCCGTATCCTTAAATCAATATAATATCTCATTTAAGCTAGTGAATAATTTGTAAAAACTTCTCGTTTTTTAAAAAGATTGTTGTTGCCCTTTTTTTTTTAGAAAACAAAATTAGTTGTTAACTTTAGTTCAAAAGGCGAGTATTTTCGTTGTCCATATCAAGGATATATCTATTAGTTTGAATTAGAGATAATATTTATTATTAACATTGCACATGATGTTAACGCACTGATTCAACGGCGCACCTAATGCACTTTTAACAGGCGAGTTTAAAATTCGTTATGCCGGGATTGAAATCTAGGAATAGAAAATCACGATTTCCATCTATTCACTTGGCTAATCCTGGCAATAAAGCGTTTTACTGCCTTTCAAATAATAATAAGGTGTTTTGTTCAATGGCATATCCATACTTGGAAAAAATAATTATTTTAAAAGTGGAGGAGACAGAAGAAAATGATTCATTATACGTTAATCATGAGTTTCTTAAATAATCTTCGGTTTGTTCATACAACATTAAGCTTCCGAAGGGTTTAACCAAACAAGACACGTAGACAAAGAAGACAATGACACGTAGGACTAAATTAAAAGCATTTATTTTTATTACTTACATTTTTATCTATTCACGAATCAAGTCCAAATACTGATATGTAAGTCCACATGACTTTAATTCGATTTATTTTTTGTTTCTTTCAACAGTCAATTGTTTCTTTCTAATCTATGGTTTCAAAGATTTGTTGGGTTATATTTAAATTATGTAATAAATTAATAAATAATAAAAACATTCTGTGGTATTGTGTGTTGTGTGGTATTGTGTGTATTGAAACATTGTGTGTTCTTTGTTGGGTTTTTTTACTTTGGAGTTGTATATTATGCGTTGTTTTGTATTATGTCATAAGTTTGAAAAATATAATGTGAAATAAGTATTTATTCGACCAAGATATTGAGCACTATATGTTATGTTGAAGTCCATTTTTGAATCAATGAGTTCATTTTTAAAATATGACCATTGTAAATAGGAATGCCATTTATTTTCAGCAATAAAATATAATTTATCTACACTTTATATAATGCTGTAGTACGTTTCCCTTTTATCCTTCTCAGGAGCGATGAATTTTGATGTAGAAGAATGAAAAGGAATTTCATGGAGCAGTGGCAAATCCAAATTACGATTCTTAAATTGCTGCAACAACTTTAATTAATATCATTGAAAAAAAATGAAGTATTAGTTTCAAAAATCAGCGAATCGAAGCGGGAGGCATTTTTAAAAACATTTTGAGATTAGTGTTAGGACATCAAGACCTCTGGAACTATACTAAACCCTGTGTTTTAAAACTCTATATTACATAACTTTTTAAATAAACTGTAATTCTTACCGAACGGGATACCTGTAACATCATAATGTTTAGGTTTTAAAAATTGGTGCTTATATATATATATATATATATATATATATATATATATATATATATATATATATATATATATATATATATATTTTTGGAAGTTGTTAACAATGAAATATTACAATCTGTCTCAATTTAGGACATTTATAATAGTGTTCAGTGAGCACATTCACAATATATGTACAGTAATCTGTTTATAATAGTCTTTAAAAACTAAAATTATAAAAATTTGAAGAAGTAGATGGAGAAGAATGGTTTTCAGGTTCTTTTAAGTGGAAACTTCTTTATTCGCGTTTGGCATTTTTTGGTGGTGAGTGAATTAGATTGAGCCATCAGATCTGCGATCTGTAACGCTCGGGCAAAGTCGGCCGGAGTCGACTAATTGAAGTATTAAAATATCTCAAAAATAAAAAATCGGAACTGCATATTATTTGCGAGGGAATTGTTTAGCATTTCATCTTAATCTGTATTGGGACCGTGTTATGGAGACGAAAAGGAAAAATAGTGTCGAAAACCAAATAATAACGAGTTGTATTGAAGATATGTATTAAAATATCTCTGAAACTGAAAAGCGGATCTGCATACTGTACGCGAGGGAAATTTTCAGTATTTGATCTTTTTTATAATGAGCTGTTATTTATAATTTATATTTCATATTAATAATTTCGTCTTTTTTATGTTTTCACTTTTATTGTGTGGTCTCAAGCATACAGCATAGTTTTTATTTTTGTGGTTTTTAGAGCATTTTGCATAATAAAGAAAGAAACTTTTTGATATTTTTCATGAAAAAATAAAATTATATCCAGGTATGGTTTCTATACTCTTGTCGTTAGACTTTTATACTGATATTAAGTGAAACTAATACAAACCAAAACTTTTATGCATCAAACAAATAGGTTTTAAGCGAGTTTAATAATGGATTGGGTAAGTTCAGGAATAATTGTGCATGGGTGTCTAGAAGGGTGTCATAGTGCATATGAGAATTATTTTTCTAATTCACAGTTTTTAAGAAGAGATGAGCAATAAAATATCTTGTGAGAGGGGGTAGGTTTATACGTCATCGACCTTGAGGGGGATGGGGATTCACGAAGCTGCTATTGTGTGTTTTGTTTAACTTTTAAACTGGATATTTTATATACTTTTTTTTTTAAACATATCCTTATTGAATAATATTGTTTTCTGTCACAACTAATGACATTAGTAAATAGTCATACAGGAGTTCATTCACTTCCAACGATTATAACTAAAAAATAAATTAAATGCAATAAAAGAAAAATAATGATACTAAAAATAAATAAATAAATATATATATATATATATATATATATATATATATATATATATATATATTTATATATATTATAATATATATATATATATATATATACAAAAAGAAACTGAAACTAATTAAATGCACTTATTAAATAAATTATTAATTATTAGTCTTGGTAAAAGATGAGGTTTCTCCGATCGTGTGTTGAGTGTACTGCGTTAATAATATTATATTGTATACAGGAATAAATGTGTTTTATATATGTCGCTTACTATACGTCGAATACATTAGGTAAAAAATATACCTATCTTATCTGAAAGTTCTCACTGTTTATTGTATTATATGTCCTTATTATTATTATTAGTATACAATAACTTTATATATTCTTACTGTACAGCTGTTTCTAATAAAATTAGGATGATTTTGCAGCCCCTTGTGTTTTTTTTAACAACGTATTTTCAAAGCTGGTTTTCGTTTTCAATATTTGGTTGGACAAGGGTAAATAATGAAACAAAATCATTAGTAATATAGTAATATCCTAATGGCATATAATCTTTTAGTTTCTTAAAGATCACCACACTACTTTATAATATGATGAGTATGAGGTAATAGAGGTAATAGGTGGAGTTAGAAGAGGAATCCTAATGGGAGCGAGTGTTGCTTGCCTCTCGCGACCTTCTGCGGACTTCCTCATACCTGCGGGGCTGCATCCTAGTTCTTCACATCTTACACAGTTAGGTTACTGCTCATCCATAGGTTGTGTCCGATGAATTCTAGGAGAGCAATGCCTTTTTTAATTAACAATGTGGGAAAATAAAAAAAGAAAGAAACAATGCCATATATTACATACTTCTTATAGTCCCTGGTACAGACCCCTATTTATCAAATTATTAACATTCGCCAGAAACTTCGCAAATAGCTTCATCTCATCGTAACTTACGAATATTTTACTTACGAAAATTGTCGTAATTGGAGCGTTTTCAATCTGGAGGTCGGCAAACTTTGTCTATTTAATTATGTACAAAAAAACAGGTAAATACCCATTTGATTTCCACTTGGATAGTAAGATCTTGGACCATTTGGCTTACATAACCTCGTTACATTTACAATGTGAGGGTGTACATCACGTCAAATGGCTCAATATTTTTTAAGGCCACTTTTTTTTTTTTTTTTGGCTTTGTGCTCAGATTATCAAATGATTCAAGTGAAAAGCAAATGGGTATTTACCAGTTTTTAGTACCTAATTAAATAGACAAAGTTTGCCGATGTACACATTGAAAACTCCCCAGTTTCGAGAATCTTCGTAAATAAAATATTTGTAGATTACGATGACATGAAGCTTTACGAAATTTCAGGCGGATGTTAATAATTTGATAAAAATGGGTCTGTAACACGGACTATAAATAACTGTAAGTGAATGAGTAGGTACATGTTTTTTCACAAATACGCTTTTTTTTTTTTTTTTCCTACGCCAAAGTAACGATAGCCATGCGTGCTCTTGCAGTCCAATACAGTTTTGCTCTCCGAGTATAAGGGCTGTCCATTTCATTAAAGGAACATCTTATGTCCTGTAATGCAGTATGTCCCTGTGTCATGAAGTGTACATCTCAGTACTATAATAAAATGCAAAAAAAAAACTGACAATATTTAATGTATTTATTAAAAATTAATATAAACAATAATAGGTGAACTATTTTACTCACTGATGAAGGAGACCAGTAGTCTCTTATGTTTTCCATTATAGCTCCTTAAAGGTCTCCTTTCTCGTTTCTTCCAAGCCAAGAATCTATCGTTGTACTCTTTAAACCTCGTTTCTGATAGAACACTAGTAAATACTATGGTAAATATCTTTTTTTGCGAAACTGCAGCGAGGGCTTGTCGATAATACAACTTCATCACACGCCCTCTCGTTCATTTTCTTGACTTTTGCATTATCCCTGTTTCTTGGAGTAATTGAAGCACGTTTTCTTCACCCTGAAAGGTAGCAGATAATTACAAGATATTCTATATTTTTTTGTTATCTAATCATGCAAGAATCCACTATTTAAACAGAATATTTAACTCAATCTGTAACTGTTGAAAACAATTTAAAGCAAATTTAAATATTTTATTGAAAAGTGATTGGCGGCAGTGAAGTAAAAAAGAACCAAAAAGGTTATATCTATAATGTAAAAAAACAAATCAATTATTTATAAGAATGGAATATACCGTTAAAAATATTAGTAAATTTATTTCTAAATATGTCATCGACACTGCGTAAATTTACGAACGTTAAAATCACTGCTTTTTACAACAAAAAAATATATCGCTTTATATTTATATACAGAGTACATGGGAAGAACTCCTGGAGATGGTTCCATATTGAAAATAATTTACGTTCTTACCCAATTTTCACTTGCTTAAATGCTATTAGCTAATTATTAATTAACAAAGGAAGGAGATGGTCCGGGGTTGCGGTCATAAAAAGGCTAAATAGTGGTAAAACTATTTTATTGAAAGCCAACGTTTCGACCCGACTTTGCAGGTCTTCATCAGGGAGGTGTGTTCCTCTAGGAGTTTCACTTAGAACTGAAACGTTGGCTTTCAATAAAATAGTTTTACCACTATTTAGCCTTTTTATGACCGCAACCCCGGACCATCTCCTTCCTTTATAATGCAACGGTCAACCATTAAATATTCAATATTAATTAACAATATTTCATACGTGTATTAGTATTTAGGTCATCAAAGACTTATCTTAATAAATCTTCGAAAATAACACCATCGACTTCTAAACAATCTTCGAATAGTGAATAGAGTTCCATGTGTCCCTTTAATGACGCCTAGGAGATTTTTACTACGTTTAGTTTGTGCACCCCAATGTCTACTTTTACTTTATATACTTCATCTTTAATCCAGCCCTATAAACAATAAACTATTGCTGTGCGATCTAGACATCTTGGAAGCCAATTAATTACACTACCGCGACCAATCCAACGATCAGGATAGCTTTCATCCAAATGTTGACTCACCTGAGAAGCAAAATGAGCGAAGCATTATCATGCTTAAAGTGCATTTACATCTGAGGTATACCAGGAAAAGTTAACACTCGGCAATGCAATAATTCAATGTTTTAAAAATACTGCAGGTATCATTAAATAATTATTTGAAACAATCAGGAAGGCAACTGTCACTATTCGAAGAATGTTTAGAAGTCGATGGTGTTATTTTCGAAGATTTATTAAGATAAGTCTTTGATAACCTAAATGCTAATACACGCTGTTCGAAGATATAGTCGAAAATATTTAGTATGCTAGTAGTCAATAGTAGTATTATATATTATGTTGTAGTTCGAACATTTATTATAATAAGACAGCGAAAACCTAAATTCTAATTCGTATATGTTAATTTGTGAAATTTTTTTTGTAATAAGCCAATAAAATTGAAACAAATGGAAATCGGATAAGAACATATAAGTTTTGTTTTATACTTTTATGTACTCTTTCTGTTTTCTACCCTTTATGTAGGAGCGGATCTAACGGTAAGCTGAGTAACGACCTCGCATGATCACGCACAGTACAGAAATATCCTAACACAAAAATTTCGGAAATGACCGTAAGCGTTAAAAAGATGTGTAATATGATAGAATAATTCTAAAAAAAAAAATATTAGATTTATTACTAACTAAATTAAGTTGCTTAACTGTTCATCGGGATTTTTTTTTTTACTTTTTCTTAGTTATCAGGAATGTTTAACGTTTAGAGCCCACATTTGTTTGGTCCCGCCTTAGTTCTTATGAAAATATAAATAATAGTTTAACAATCCATAAACATCACATGTTCACTTGAGGAATTTTATTGGTTCGTAAATCCAAATTTATATCTTATGACTGGCATCATATGCCGTTATGGAGTTCTTAAAGAAGAGTTTTTTCGCCATAAAACTCTTGGAATCGTCTAAGTTTTTTTATTGAGTGGCTACTATAACTTAATAATGCTTCTTTAAGATAATAACTTTAACATTTGACAGACTTTAATGATTTATTATTATTCATATATTTACTTTTTTGTAGAATAACATTTCAATTTATTTAGTTTTGTATACGTTTTAACTTTTTTTAGTTTTGTTCTGAGCCTTGTCTTTATTCGATGATTGGGTGTAAAAAGTTTATAATTATTTAAATAAATAATATTTGTCATTGAAAAATGGTTATTTAGCCTCGTTTTGGAGATGTATACTATTCTTTTATACCTTGATTAATACGAATATAATTTATTTCGGGAACCTTGTACAACCACCGTTGAGAACTGTATTTCTAAAAAAATTGAAAATGGGAATTGACTGAAACAAGATTTTATATAAGGCCAAATTGACTAGAAAATATCATTTTTTTTTTTTTATAATCATTCATATTTATAGCGATAATGATTCTGGAGAATCAAAAAACTTCAGCATATTTGTTGGTCAATTCCACCTTGGTTGTTCCAGATTGTTGACACGGTATACCTGCCATATTGGGACTGTAAGACCATTAGGCAGGTTGTTTTGCTGTTGGCCGCTTTGTTTAGGATTGTCGGGTCACGAACCTGCTGTGTATCGCTACACGGCAGAGTATCTTCTTATATCGTGACCTGAAGCTACTATCATAACCTGATTGTTTCTATTCTGGCGATTCAGGCTCTAACTATTGAACGATGGAATCTATGGTCTCATTACTTGAATAGATATTTTATATCAGGTCATGGCCACGTTGTATGATAAATTTCTATGTCGATTTAATTTATAGTAGCCAAAAATATCTTAAATGTAATGAATACTGTTCGAAGAGCCTCATTGAACTCATGAATAAAACAAATTTTCAAGTTAATTTATTATTAGCCATATTTACACCAATTTTTAAAATTGTTTGTCATTTAATGACTACTCATCACAATGACGACGTTTCGGTTCGTCGAGCCATTTTCAAGTCTAAAAAAATTTTCATTTACAATCATATATTAACTTTAACATATTTGAAATTATAAAGATTCTTATTATGTACCTAAAAATAATTAAAGGTGAACATGACAATAATAAGGAATTTTAATATGAGTAGAGGCTTGCAATTGACATAAGTGAAAAGGACAGGTACATGATGGATATTTTAGGTACATAATAAGAATATTTATAATTTGAAATATGTTAAAGTTAATATATGATTGTAGATGAAAATTTTTTTAGACTTGAAAATGGCTCGACGAGCCGAAACGTCGTCATTGTGATGAGTAGTCATTAAGTGACAAAAATTTTGGTGTAAATATGGCTAATAATAAATTAACTTGAAAATAAATAGTATGGACCGAAGAATAAGTGGGAAATATTGTGAAAACAAATTTGTTACAATAAAAATTTAAAGCAATATACCGTAAGATGGGGTAACTTTGGGAATGGGTCGGTAACTTTGTTAAAGCGAGATAAACTTAGTTTATGGTGATTCTGTGGTGGATACACTGTTGGGTCAGTATGAAAAACTGTGCTTTGTGTAGGCATGGTACTATTGAGGCACAAGCTAAAGGCTTTTTTTCAAGAATTTTAAGAAGAAATTCAAGAAAACATCAATGGAAATAAATAAAAACTCACTGTACAACCAGTGTAGTGAATTACTGTTATTGTCGAAAGGTAGTTTGATAACAGTGTATCCACATTAAAGTGTATCCACCATCGAATCACCACAAACTAAATTTTACCCGCTTTCCCAAAGTTAATCGAGGGTCGTTAAGAATTCGATTATTTTCGAGAATAAAAATTAATTTGTGCAGATGCATATGATACGAAAACATTATTTAAAAAAAATATGTATCTTTAATTTTATATCTAAAAATAATATACTAATTATTAAATATATCTAAAATTATGTAATACATTTGTTGAGAAATACGAATTTCATTTTCTTTATTTTGAAAATCTGTCTTGATTTCGATCATGGAATGGCCTTCAGTATTCCAATACTTATTAAATAGTAATCCATTTTGGTAATTTATAATTTTACAGTCCTTAAATCCTTATGATGATGGTCAGAAATAAAAATCTCAACAATCATCTTTTCCTGTTTATAAGCGCTCTAGTTTTTGCTTATATTAGTGTTGTAATTATCTTTTTTTCAAACTTTCCATTTTACTGCTCTATAACCTAATTATAGTGAAAACTATTATATATTCTCATAATATTTAATCCTCTTAATGTTTTGTTACTCTTTTATTGTTTTCTTGCCCTTTATTGGAATAAAGTTTAAACGTTATTCATTTACTTCGTTATCATAAAATGCGTTTTCTATGTCCACTCACCTCCGAGTATTCGCAGTTAGATATTCCATATCCATCAGAGGGATTTCACAGCAAGTCTTAGTATTTTTAAAATTTTGATATTTGCAATGTTTTTCTTTTCTTTTTTTTTATGATGAACAGACATCAGTGAACCTCGTATATGGATGATTCTTATTTTAGGAGCAAGTTTCAGTCCATTACAACTTTTACGTGATTAGTTAAGTCTAACTTGATTTTTTCCCCACTGCTATACGGCGAAGAAGTATTTTTTCATAATGAAATATTAAAGAATAACGTGATTTTATAATTACTTAAGCTACTAAAATGTCATTACCGCGTATTGTCCCACTCTCAGTTTTCTAGTAAACAATTTTTTTTTTCTTTCGAAACCTATGTAAAATGACAGTGAAATTCATTTCTACTCCTAAAGAATAGTTAAGGTATTCTGAACTATGTATATTTTTTAACTTTTGTTTACAGTGAAGTATGTTTATGTATTTTCGAACATTTTCCCATCACCTTGATGTCATTACCAAGCAAAACACATTACATCAGACATTTAAGCGTTGTAAATAGGGAACAAAGTGAAAATTTCTTTAGAGTGTAGTAGTAGCC